CTGCATCCCTCTCATTTTTGGTTAACATTGTGTAAGCTGAATTTGTTGAGTATTTGCCATTCTTGCTGTGGGCCCATTCCCATGTATCCTTGCATCCTTGTGAAATCTGCACATTTTGGATCTTACTGAGTAATTCCATTGCTTCTTCCTTTTCCCAGTCAAACAAGCTCCTCCTCCATGATAAATTCCACTCCCATGACCCGTTGATTCTCCTTCCCATTTCACTGCACATCTTCATCTTCTCTGTGGATAGCAAATACAATCTTGGGAATATATTTGCAAGACACTCCTCTCCCCTCCATCTATCCCACCAGAAACTAACAGTATTACCCTCCCCAATGTTAACCCCGAAACCCTCTTTAATCCAACCATAGTTGCCCCCATTCATTGTGTTTATATCACACACATCCCTCCACCACGATGATCCTATTCCTCTTGTTTCAGCAATCCAATCCTGCCAATGACCCCCTCCCTTCCCATACTTCTCTATAATTATTTTTTTCCACATGCCCTCCCTATTTTCAGCAAGCCTTCCCCACCATTTGCCCATCAATGCCAAGTTGAATTTCCTCAAATCCCTCACTCCTAACCCTCCTTCCTCTTTCTTTTTACATACTCTATCCCAACTAATCCAATTTATTTTTCTCTCCTCTCCCTTCCCACCCCATAAAAAGCTTTTACGAAGTTTGTCAATGGATTGAATTATACCTTTTGGGATAACATAGACAGACATCAAGAACACCGGTAGGCTTGACAGCACTGAATTGATGAGCGTGATGCGGCCTCCCATCGATAGATACCTCCCCTTCCAGCTGGCTAACTTCTTTCTCACAGACTCCACCATAGGCTGCCACATGGCTTTTCTTCTATGATTACCGCCAATAGGGATTCCTAAGTACTTGAATGGCAATTTCCCTTCTTTGCAGCACAATTGATATGCCATTTTAGCACTCCAATTCTGATCAACTCCCACACCAATCAACTGGCTCTTTCCGAAATTAATCTTCAGTCCTGAGACTAACTCGAATGTTCTCACAATGCATTTGATCACCCTAATATTGTCTTCCGTTGCATCCCCAAAGAATATTGTGTCATCCGCGAATTGAAGGTGTGTGACCATTGCATCTCCATTCCCAATGCCCACTCCTTTATACCTCTCCTTATCCACTGCCGATGACATTAATCCGTTCAGCCCCTCAGCCACAATCACGAATAGAAAAGGAGATAAAGGATCTCCTTGACGGATACCTTTATTAACCGGAAATTGATTCGTCGGGCTGCCATTAATTAGAATAGAGACCGAGCTCGAGTTCAAGCACTCCTGAATCCATTCCCTCCAAGTTGCACAAAATCCCATTCTCATCATCATGTAGTCTATGAAATCCCAGCTTACTTTGTCGTAAGCTTTCTCGAAATCGACTTTAAAAAGGAATCCCTTCTTCTTTTTCTTCTTAACTTCGTCGAGAATCTCATTTGCAATCACTGCCCCTTCTACTAACTGCCTTCCTTCTATAAAAGCCATCTGCTGTTCCCCAATCACCTTCGATAACACTTTCCGTAGTCGGTTCGCTAATAACTTTGCCATGATCTTGTAAATGACTCCTATTAGCGAAATGGGTCTGAATTCCTCTATTGCTTGTGGATTTCCAGTCTTTGGAATTAACACTATGAAAGAGGCATTTGACCCCCTGACCATCTTGCCATGTTGATGGAATTCCCGTACAAAGTTGATTATATCATCTTTAACAACCTCCCACATTGTCATAATGAATCTGAAGTTGAATCCATCTGGTCCTGGGGATTTTGAAGGATCACAATTCCATACTGCTTCTTTAATTTCCTGTTCTGAAAAATTAGCAGTGAGGAGCTCATTGTCAGCTTGCGTGATTTGCCTAAAGCATATTCCATCGAGCTTCGGTCTTCTCCACTTTTCTTCCGTAAACAATTCTTGGAAGTACTTAGCAACCTCTCGCTTTATTACCTCCACTCCTGTATACTGCTCCCCATTTATCCGGATACTATTGATTTCGTTTCTGTACCGCCTTCCCTTGATGCTTCTATGGAAGAATTTTGTATTCGCGTCACCTTCCTTTAGCCACTGCTTTCTTGATTTTTGTTGACTCATCCTCTCCTTGATTTTTAAATTCTTCCACAATTCAATGAAACTGTTCCTTCTTAGCTCAATATCAATATCTGATAACTGGTGCTGCTCTCCTTTCTCATCTATTGAAGCGATCAGAATTTCTGCTTCCTTTATTCTTCCTTCCATCTCACTGTTGGTTTTGCCACTCCACTCCTTCAGTGCCTTCTTTGTTCTTTTCAGTTTTTCTTTAAGTTTAAAACCATTCCAACCCTTTACTTCGCTGTCATTCCATACACTCGCAATCACTTCCTTACATCCCTATTGATCCAGCCAAGAATCAAAAAATCTGAACGGTTTTGGTCCCCAGTCGACCTGCTCGTTTTTTATCACAATAGGGCAGTGATCCGAAACAGATCTCTTCAAACCCCACTGTTTAATTTCGCTCCACTTTGACATCCATTCCTCAGAGAACAGGAATCTATCAATTCTGCTCATTTGTTGCCCATTTGAATTATACCAAGTGTATTTTCTCCCTATCAACGGTAAGTCGACCAACTCCGTGTTGTGGATGAAAGCATCAAACTCCCTCATTTCATTTGAAACCACCTTACATCCAGCTCTTTCCTCCACCCTCCTTACAGCATTAAAATCCCCAGCTAAGCACCACATCCCCTTCCTGTTATTTATTAGACCTTGCAGCTCCTCCCATAAGGCTCTTTTTCTTGACATTTGACACGGGGAATAAATATTTAAAATGTATACAGGTATCTCCTCCACTCCCCACAGTCCAAATACCCCTATAAAATTATCCCCCTCTATCGTCTCTTTCTTCTTCAATATTTTAGAATCCCAGACACATATCAGACCTCCAGACATGCCTGTAGACGACTTTGCAACCCAATCCATATCTTCAGACCCCCATAAATTTCTATAGAACTTTCTATCAACAGTATCCATCTTGGTTTCTTGTACAGCTAAAAATTGGATTTTCTCTTTGATAATAAATTCCCTAATCTGTGCTTTCTTCCCTACCCCTCCAAGACCCCTAACATTAAATGAAATAATTATCATTGATTGCTCCACATACCTTCCTGCTGCCTTCTTCCTCTCGGATCACCATCATCCTCTTTGCTCTTTGATCTCTATCCTCCATCTCCTCTATTCTTTGAATCACCTCATTGTCGTTCTCCGCCACTGCTCCGAGCTGCGACGCCAAGTCCCATATCTCCTTTGCGAGCTGGGTTTGCCACTGCTTCTTCAATGCCCTGTTCACGTTGTGGATATCGCTATCCCCTACCGAGTCTCCAGCAGCCTTTCCTTCCTGGTTCGGCATGAAGGTTGGAGCTGGTCTCTCCTCTTTTTGCTGTGAGTTCTTCTTCTTTCTTCCTCTCTTTCTTCCTGCCGTTGCCTCACTGATCCTGGGCTGTCCATACACCGAGCTACACCTTCTGACCTTCCTTCTGCGGTTTTTTGAGCTAATCTCCTCCAGCTGTTTGCCGATCCAAACTTCGATTCGGCTTCTCTCTGATTCGTGTCCCTTCCAGAAGGCGTCTTCATCTCCATCGCCTTTCTCTTCTGCAGGTTCTCCGCTTCCAGAAATGACCCTGTTTTGTTGTGCTACTGGATTCTCCTTTATTGTTTCTACTTGGGCTCCGTCCACATTAGTGGACTCCAATACCCTTGGGCTTTCCTTCGGCGAGGTGGGCCTTGCCACTTGCTGATCTCTGGGCTTCAATTTGTGGTTAATGCCTTCTCCTGATTTTCCTCCAATTTCCGAAGATGAGGCCTGCACCGTCTGTCCTGTAGCCCCACCATCTGTCCTGCTTCTTTCCCTTGCATTTGAAATTTGAAATTCATCCAGGTTGTCACCAACGGTCTCTGCATCCCCTGCTTCCTTGCTGGTTTGTTCTAGCTTACTTCTTTCACCCTCTTTCCTACGTCTTCTGATGTCATCATCTTCTTCAACTGGATATCCGAACTGAACCTCCTCGTTCCTCCACCCATCTTCCTCATCAAGCCTCTCCGGCTCTGTTCCGGTGGTCCATGACTCCCTATCTTCGGACTCACTGTTAAAGGAGGGAATAAAATCATGCTTCAAGGAGAAAAAGCAATTGGTGACTTCCTCTTCTGTAAATTTCAACTTATAAAGGCTTCCATTGATTTTGATTTCCCTTGAAACTGATATTGTCTCCATTATTGGAGTAGAAATCAAAAATCTTGCAACATCGAACCTTTCCTTCTTGCTTGTACTGTCATCCAAGCACATAAAGTTTCCCCATGAACGGCCCATAGTAGAAAAGAAATCACTTCCCCAGACATTCACTGGAGCCCCTTGGCACCTTATCCACACATATCTCTCTTTTGCTGTCATCTGTGGTGTCCACGGCTTCACCTCTTCAAACCATTGCCTTAACCAATCTGGAGCCATTTCGACTAAGTCTTTCACTTCCTCCTTATCTTGGCCTGTTAACAGTACCATTTTGCCTCCCATTGCTCGAATTTTACAAGAAAAATACCCCTCCATAAAAAATTTTTCTTGTAAATTGCGAACTATCTCCACGGAGTGCGCTATTCCAACGTAGCTGCCTTCAATCCAGGCATACTCTTCAGGTTTAACGTTGAACTCCATACCTGCCCATTTCTCTCCCCTTCCTCTTTCTTTCCACACTTTTCTATCTGCAGTTTGCCGGTACTGGTGTTTACTTCTGTATCTGTAACTCCCTTGCTTGTCATTCCCTGCATACTTCTCACATTCCTTGTCATTTCTTCTGTTTCTGTCTTGGCCCATCATGCTTTGAATACTCTGATCCCCTGCTATTACCTTCCCTTGTGATCCTTTCACTACTTCGGCATAAGTTCTACTCTGATCTACTTTCATCATTCCATAACTTTTTCTTTTCTCCCCACCTTCATCCCTCTCAGCATCATACTTGGGCATATTCACCCACAGTTTCTGGTCTCCTACCCGGATCTGATTCAGCTTTCTTTCTAGTTCCATCTTGTCTGTCACCCCTAGAAACCTCACAAAACCAAATCTACTTCCGTTCCTACTCCTTCTATTTGGAGAATAGATGTCATACACTCGGCCGAACTTCAAGAACGTTCTCCACATTTCTTCATAGCTCCAATCATCTGGAACATTGGTAAAGAAAAAAGTTGTTGCTTGTTTGTACAGACCCCAGTTATAAGGCCCACCTCTCTGCATTTTTCGACCCTGGTATTGATCATCCCTTGTTTTCCCCAATTCTCTCGGATCCCTGATCCTTTGGTAGTTTCTTCGACGAGATCCGCCTTGCTCCCAGATCAATGCTGACTGTCTATCCCTTGTACGATGTCCACCTTGCTCCCTTCTCACTCTCTCTCTACCTCTCTCTCTCATCGCTGCTTGTTGGTCTTAATTTCTTTGATTTCCCAGAAATTGCAAAGTTGCTTTGTCAAAAGCCAATTATTAGTCCTGTAAATTCTGTCCATTACTCCTGCTATTTTCAAGTATGTCTTTTCTGTAATCCGTAACTGAGGCTATGGTTCCATATCGTTAATTTCTAACTTAATTGTGAGCTTTTTAGCCTTTTCATCAGGAATCTAAGGATGCAGTTGATTCTGATGTAAGTCAATGAGTATGCTCTGTTGTTGGTATTAGTTGTTTGATAGTTCTGGTTCTTAACCTTGCCAGGTCAACTCATTCCCCAGGTTGAGGATAGAGACGATGCCGATTGTGCTGAAGAAGATTCTGATTCTGAAACCAAATCAGACGGAAGTGAAGAGACCAAGGAAGATGTACATGTAAGTCATTTACTGATTTACCGGTATATACTAAACAGCTCTATAACTTGAAATGCTTATGAATTGATTTTCTCTGCTCAATCTTTGCAGGATGAGCTGTGAGGCAAAAGCACCGTGATGTTTTGCTGACAATATGGGTCCAGAGATAGTAAGGCAATTAAGCTCTCCAAATTTTTTCATGATCTTTTTTTATCTTCAGCTGTAGGATTTCTGTTTTAGTGGAGAACAAAATTGAAGGATGCAATTTAAACTGTCTGAGCCTTTAGAACGAGGTCACATTCAGATTATAAAATAGTTTGGGCATTTTCTTCGCAACTATTTTCTTATTTACAGACGATCCTCAAGTCCTTTTCTTTCTTATTAATTTTGGCTCTAACCCACCATGGTGAAGAGTTGGGTAGGCATCCACATAATTGGCTTCTAAGAGCGGAATGCTTACTTCGATATCAAATCTGCAGTCAACAAATTATTAAGCCAAAATCTTAATCTTAACTGTTGCATGCCGTTTGGTGAGAATGAGTCGGGAAACAACTCCATTATGATAGTAACAGAATGATGCTCCTTACTCTAGTTGGGAAAAACTACTTGGTCTTTGCCGCCGTTTAGAAGAGAAGCCACGTTGTTAGCCAACCTTAAACTGCGTCCACCTCACCCCTACTCCTGCCACGCGTTTCCTTGCATGCGCAGCACATCAATTTGGTTGCTGCTGAAATCATGTGTATTCGCAGACAATTTGATCCAGAATCAATCGTAAACACAACCACTAATAATGTCACAAGCTCTCGTCAAAGCCATCCCAAAAGCAATGGTCCAATGGTTACGAGTTTGAGATTTCAATTTGAAAATTTTAAATTCGAGTTTTGAGTCGAGTGAAAAGAGATTTAAGGAAAATTTTTTTTTTTATTATATAACTTATTCAAAAGTACCAATAAAAAAATAAAAGCTCTCAGCAAAGCCACCAACACCACCACTTCTATCCTTGAGACCGCCACCTCCGCCATCGAAGGCTTTGGTCCCATCAACAAAATCCACCAACATCTCTGCGCGTATTAACTAACCCACCGATTATTTATTTATTTCCCCATTTTATAATTTAATCTTTTTGCTGATTAAAAGGAATATTCATCTGGAATTGCATATGTATGTAGATTCCATTTCTACAGTAACGACATGACCCGTCAAGTAGAGGCAGACCACTTCTGCGCCCATCAGAACGAAGAGATGCGGCAGTGCTTGATCTACGACAGCCCCAAAAAGGACGCCCGTCTCATAGGGGTGGAGTTCCTGATCTCGGAGAACCTGTTCCTGACGTTGCCAGACGAGGAGAAGCCACTGTGGCACTCCCACGAGTACGAGGTTAAGAGCGGGGTGTTGTTCATACCGGGAATCCCAGGGCCCATCAAGGGGCCAGACATGGAGAGAGTGTTGGAACTTAAATATTTTAATCAAAAATAAAATAAAAAATTGAATTTATTGTCTCAATAAAGACTTAGTCAAATTAATCATTGTAGGTTAATTGTTTTATTTAAGGGTACATTATTTCATATAATTGCCAAATTTAATACTATCATTAACCTACAAATGAGAGTTACAAAACCATGAGTCTTATAAATAAAACATGTTTTTCCTCAAAAAAGAGTTCCTCTACGTTCTCTTACTTTCTTACCATATTCTTCCTCCAAAATACTTTTGAGTAAAGAAGAGTGTTTTGAGTTAGGTGATTCTATGGGTAGTGCAGATTCATAAAATGTTATTATAAAGCTGTAGCATTTTAGGGGTGACATGTTATATATATCTTTACTGTACCGGTTGATCACTCTCCATAAAGGCATGAATCGCTTTAAAGTAAGTAAACTTTTCATGCTTATTTTGATGATGATTTCTTATTGATATTTTTCTGATAAGTTTACTAATTGTTTTTTATTTGATTTTATAACCAAGGCACAACAATGACATGATGTGAAGATAGAGAAGAATATTCGAGGAACAACAATTTTAAGGTGATTCAATATGCAAAGCAAAATTGAAACATATGCCACATTGTGTAAGCAAAATATTTGTTTTAGGTGCCTCAAAACGGGTATGAGTTTTTAGATCCTAACATGATTATTAGCACATGCTTGAATGGTAAGCTATTTATTTTTAATGGAGTGTGGACAGTAAAAAAAAAAAGAAAAAAAAAAGGACATTCTACATGCAATTTTAATGTCTCCCATTAGACATGCATTGATTCATGTATGAATTTGTGATTAATTTGGCATAAAGATACATGTCCGTTCATAGGTTATATGCAATGGTGATTTATTACTTAATTATATATGAACGGTTATGAACCTTATGATTAGCACTTCATGTTATTAGCCGTTGATATTAAATACATATTAATTAATAGATTAATGGTGCATTTTGGCTGTTACTAGTGCTATAATGGCTATATTTATAAGAATTATGAGCTAGTTGTTTGCTATTAATGCATATGGTAAATAATTGGTTCATTTCCAATAGCTATGAAGGAAAAAATTTATGAATTTAATTGACCATATTATTGAGTTTTTGATGAAACATGACTAAACTTTGAGAACCAAATTGAAAATTGGAAAAGGCTAGAGGAAAGAGCTAGCCAATTTGGTCTATGCAATAATTTTGAAAAAATGGACTTGAAATTTGAGTTGATATATTTCGGAAACGTAAGTTAAATTTTTTAAGCTTGCGTGACCGAGAAGCCCTTTGTGGTGATAAAATGTGAGATGAGCTAATATGCTCTTATGAAATTTTGTGAGAAAATGAGTTTCTTCATGAACTCAATTATTTGAGAAATGTGATCATCACATATTTGAGATGCTTCCAATGTGGAGGATTATAATATCCCTATATATTGTTATTGGTGATGAGACCAATGGTGCCTAATTGAAATTTTATATAGCATTCCTTTTAACCAATAAGGTATAATGGTGCTTAATAAAGCAAATGTGATATACACTCCTATCATACAATTATGGTATAATGGTGTATGATGAAAAAGAGTAAGGCACTTTACTTGAATAGAAGGGATATGCTATCATAGACATTCCTATTGTACAATAAGGTACAATGGTGTTTGAGTTAAAAAATTCTTAAATATATGTCTCTACATGTATGGAAAGAAAATGGTGGTTCATTAACTCGATTTGATATCAAAAATTGTGGTACCATGAATTGAGAATTTGAGAAATGTGAATGCGAATTTTATGAGCTAGTAGACATGTGGGTTAATGTGAAAAAGTGAGAAAAAAAGAATGAGTTTAATCTCTTTGTTACCTACTATATCACCAACTAGACCTTTGGTAAAAACAAAAGAATTGGAGAAAAGAAACTATGATCAGAGTCTAAGGTCTAGTGCTCATTAAGGGGAATGGATTCAAGCCCAATAATATAGAACTTTCTATAAGGATACCCAACCCAAATTCTGAGAATTGGGTTTTGGAATAGGAAAAACGAATCATAGAGAAGTCGTTGTTGAAAAATGCGTTAATATTTAATGGAAAAAATTTCCAGTCTTATTCTTAAGGTGAGGATGCATTTATCCCATAACGAATTGAGGGTTGAGTTTTAGACTCTTAATGAAATTTGTAACTCATAGAGTGGGGTGTTTTAGTTATGGGAGCACCTTTGACAAATTTCACCTATGTGGGTGTCGAAGTGAGGCCGCTTCTATAAAAATTGGATGGGCAGTTTTCTAGATCACTTATAAAAACCAGGATCAGGCGTAAGGCCATAATGTGCCAGCTGTGTGAAAAACTCAACATTCGGATTATTATGTGTGTGATATGATTCTTGTATCTTCCAATGGAGTCATAGTTCAAGATTTAGTTTACTATTGACTTTGGATTAAGAATTGTTGACGCACTAAATAAAGGTTCAATGCTTAGCTACCTTTATTATGCATAATAATCCATCTTTACCCAAAAAGAAAGGTTTATTTTTTATTAAAATAGTGGAGAAATTGTTGGAACTTAAATATTTTAATAAAAAATAAAATAATAAATTGAATTTATTGTCTCATTAAGGACTTGGTCAAACTAGCCATTATAGGTTAATTGTTGTATTTAAGGGCACATTATTTCATATAATTGGCCAATTTATTACTATCATTAATCTACAAATGGGAGTTACAAGACCATGAGTTCTATAAATTGGATATATGTTTTTGCTCAAAAGAGAGAGTTCCTCCACGTTCTTCTACTTTCTTACCATATTCTTCCTCCAAAATACTTTTGGGTCAAGAAGAGTGTTTTGAGTTAGATGACTCTATGGGTAATGCAGATTTATAGAATGTTATTATAAAGCTTTAGCATCCTAAGAGCGACATGCTATATATATCTCTACTGCACTAGTTGATCACTTTTTGTAGAGGTGTGAATCGCTTTAAAGTAGGTAAGTTTTTCATGTCTATTTTGATGATGATTTCTTATTGATATTTTTTTGATAAGTTCACTAATTATTTTTTATTTGATTTTATGATCAAGGCACAACAATGACAAGATGTGAAGATGGAGAAGAATGTTCGAGGAACAACAGACAGTGTGCAAGACTTACGGCAAGGTTTTCCATTTCTAGCAAGTGGACAAGGGCGACAATTTGCCTTTGGGGTTGCCTCAGCTCATGATGGCCCTCACCAGGGACGGTCAGCTCTACAATGAACTTGCCAAGAGTATGCCCACTCTTCTTTTGAACAATTTATATTTTAAATAATTTTAATTAAAACATCATAATTTTTGAATTTTGAATTGAGTATAGAAAAAAATAATTTTTCTGTTGCAATTACTAAATACTTTTCTATAATAATAAAGTGTGATATGAATATAGATGCGGAGAAGCAATTGGGGATATCTTTGGCCGAGGAGAGAGGGAAGCGAAAATACATGAAGGAGTCGACGTGTTGGGAATTTTGAGTATTATAATCCCACACAAACGGAAGTGATAAAAAAATTTAGACAACAATTTAATGTTGTTCGATTTGTATACCTTTCAACAAGTTTATGTTCACGAGAAAAAGATAAATAAATCCACTATTAAGAAAAATAGTACAATAATTTAGAAACTCTCTCCCTTAAGAAACTTTCAACACCCTAACTTCAATATATAAAAACTCTTAAATTCTTCTTAATATTTTATTTTAATCTATACAAGAATTTTCTCACAATTTCTCTTTCTTTTCTCTCATAAGAGCACCCACTCACTTAACTCTTCTCTTGCTTGCTCTCACTCTTGCTTGCCCATTGCCTTTGCATGCATGGGTATTTATAGTGAAAAATCCCAACCACCCAAGCAAGTTTTTCTTTGCCTCATTACCACCCGTCCATGATTTTCTTTGCTCATTAAATGGGTCAACATGCAATCCTCTTGCATGATTTCAACAAAGTAATTCTAACCCACAACTAGTTAGGTTGGTGAAAAAATTTTAGCAAATGGAAAGTTCATGTGTTCACATGGGATTGGACTTTGTACCAACACGACGCATGGGATTCATCCGTTGGCTAACCGTGGTGAGAAGGGGCTTAAGACGGAGATGAGGGAGACAAAGTGCAATCCTGCTTATTCTGTTCCTAGAGTCTTTGTTTAGAAAGTGAATCTCGATGGAGTACTATTGAAAATCCTGCATGTGGGCTCAACACAAGACTTGCATCCAACCTAAAACCAATTGGCAATAGGTGGAGTAGCCTTCCTTGTATTTAACCCACAAGCTTATTATTTTTATACTTGATGTGGGATTTTCCCACTTAACACGCCCCCTCACGTGCAGGCCCGCTATGAATGTCGGGTCTTGTCACGTGGGTTAACATGCCCCCTTAATTGCAGGCCCGGTATCAACTTTGGGTCCTGTCAGGTGGGCTAACAACGGGCTTCCGATGGTAGAACCTGTGCTCTGATACCATATTGAAAATCCTGCATGTGGGCTCAACACAAGGCTTGCATCCAACCTAAAACCAATTGGCAATAGGTGGAGTAGCCCTCCTTGTATTTAACCCACAAGCTTATTATTTTTATACTTGATGTGGGATTTTCCCACTTAACAAGTACTAAAAAGTTCCATCAAGTTCAAGTGCATTGCTTTTTCACAAGAAACGGTGTTGTAGTTGTAGAGCTATTTCTCTAATATAATATCTACTGTTTTTTTTTTTTAGATCAGCCAAAGAAAAAGTAATTAAATTTAATGAAGCACAAGGGGTGCTTCTGCCCATGTACAAAAAAAGGAACTCATAGCCGAGGAGAGCTAAAGACCTAAAAACCATAGATTGACAAGGCTTACAAAACACAAACATCAAACGACAGGAGACCAAGTACTCCTCAATTGAAGACAAAACAACCCCGCCTATCTCAACCAGAGGGCACTCGAGCTTTATAGAACTGCTTCCTCAGCTTTTTATGATTTTTGACAGCCATAGCACACTCCATTGGACAAGATTGCCATTCGAAAAAGGAGAAAACACAGCCATTAACTTTGGATTTGATCCATATAAATGTTTTTACTTGCATCCTTTCCAGCAGGTTTTCTGGTAATCCTTCATCTTTTCGAAACACTTGGATATTTCGTCTATACCATAAGTACCAGGCGACCACTAGGAAAATACACGAACCCATCTCCTTTCCAATTATGCTTCCCAAACTACCAATGAAAAACTCTACCATGCCCCCTACAGTATTAGGCAAAACAGATTCCAAACCCCACCAACTTAACACCTGAGTCCAAGCTAACCATGCATTATAACATAAACAAAATAAATGGTTAACTTTCTCCTCCTTCCCATTACAAAATTCACAAAGAGCCCCCTCCTGTAGCAATATCCCACGTTTTTGTAAGTTTTCCTTTGTTGGGAGTCTATCTAAACACAAACGCCACCCAAAAAAAGCCACTTTGGATGGCACCAATCTGCACCCTATTAATTTGCATAACTGGTCCTCCAAAACACTCTCCGAAGAAGCTAAGAAATCATACGCTAGCTTCACCCCATATTTACCATCTAACCCATGAATCCATTTCCAAACATCCCCTGCCCCCTCCTTTAAATTGACACCCTCCAGCATCTTTTCCAACAGCTCCTCCTCATCTTTCTCACGCCCTAATGTACCCCTCCTCCACTCCAGCCGCCAACGCCATCTCCCCTCTTCCCAAGACCCCATTTCGGAAACCTTCCCTTCCTTCTTTACAGCTAGTGCAAATAACCTAGGAAACAAGTCTCTAAGGCTTTTTACACCCATCCACCTATCTGACCAAAAAACCACTCTATTTCCTTCTCCCACCTCCCACTTGAAACCCTCCACCAACATATTTCTAAGATTGAGGGAGATGCCCCCTATCCTAATAATGTCCCTCCAAATCTTAGACATCTTGAAACACTCAACCGAAGTAATATCGACCTCCCTCCTACCACCATAATATTTCTCCCTCACCACCCTTTTCCATAAGCTCTCGACCCCGTCGCCTAACCTATACCACCATTTTCCTAACATTGCCCAGTTTTTTCTTTGTAAATCAGGCACCCCAAGACCCCCATTTGCCTTAGCTTGACATACATGTTCCCATTTCACCCAAGAAATTTTCTTATTTAATTCTGCCCCGCCCCATAAGAAACACCTTTGGATTCTAGTCAACTCCGCAAGCACAGAATTAGGTAAGGAATATAAAGACATATAAAAAATAGGAAGTGCAGAGAGTACCGAGTTTAGCAAGACGAGGCGGCCTCCAAAAGAAAGAGTAGCGGCCTTCCAGACAGCGAGTTTGGAACGGAATTTATTTACAACCAGCTCCCATAATTTCTTATTCCCAGATTTTCCGTCTACGGGCAATCCCAGATAAAGAAAGGGTGGTCGGCCAACCCTGCAATGTAACATACCCGCTGATCCTTTTAGCCATTTCTCCGACACATTATAACCAAAAATACTGCTCTTGCTGAAATTAATTCTCAATCCCGACATAAGCTCGAACCATTTTAGGATGTCTTTCACCGTACGTATATTCTCCGCATCCGCTCTACCCATAAAAACTGTATCATCAGCAAACTGGAGCAACGATACGGATAGACCTCTCTTTCCAATCTCAATCCCATGCATCATATCCTCCTTTATAGCTCTCTGTACCAGAAACTGTAACCCCTCTGCGATCATCAAAAAGAGAAAAGGAGATAGAGGATCACCTTGTCTCAAGCCTTTTCCCATCTCAAATTCCTTTGTCGGGCTTCCGTTTACCAGAACCGAAATTCTCGCCGTTGAAAGGCATTCCATGATCCATCCTCTCCACTTCATTCCAAATCCAAAACTTTCCATCATCCAATCCAAGAAAGACCAATCAACGCAGTCATATGCCTTTTCGAAATCTGCTTTAAACACAAAAGCTGGTTGTTTCTTTTTCTTAATCTCATCCACAACTTCATTCAGCACCAGGACACTATCTACCAACTGCCGTCCCCCCACAAAGGCAGATTGCGTTTCACTTACAATTTCTGATATCACGGACTTCAATCTATTAGCCAGCACCTTCGCTAATAATTTATAGACACATCCTAACAAGCTAATGGGTCTATAATCCTTTAGTTCTATGGCATTCAACTTTTTAGGAATCATAGCAATAAAAGAAGAATTAAGACCCCTCACCAATTTGCCATTACGATGGAATTCAGAAAAAAAGTTGATGAAGTCCTCCTTTATACATTGCCACGCATATTTAAGGAAATTGAAATTGTAACCATCAGGTCCTGGTGCCTTTGAACCTTCACAGCTCCTTAAGCCTTCCTCAATTTCTTCAGCTGAAAATGGCCTTTCCAGCCAATCTTTTTTCTCCTCGGATAGCTGCTGGAAATTAATATTCCCAAGCTTGGGTCTATTCCATTGCTCTCCTTGAAACAAGCTTCTAAAATATCTGACTATCTCATTTTTTACTAAATCTGGCTCTTCAATCCATGCTCCATCACACATTAAACCCACAATGTTGTTTTGTGCTCTTCTACCTTTTGCGACTCTATGAAAGAAACGAGTATTTGCATCTCCCTCATGCACCCATTTACTCCTTGATTTCTGCTTCCATATCAATTCTTTTTTCCTCAACACATCCCACATCTCAGAAAAACCTTCTTGCCTTTTCACTATCTCAGCCTCTTCTAGATCAGATATCTCATTCTGCATATCAACTTTCTCAATTTTTTTAACAGCTTGCTCATATTGAGTTTCCATATTCCCAAAGACTTCCTTGTTCCAGCCCTTTAAAAAACCTTTTAGCAATTTCAACTTTTGCTGGCACTTATACCCAGCAAAACCCTCCACCGCCAACTCACTCCATTTATCCTCTACGAACTTCTTAAAATCGGGGTGTTGTTGCCATGCATCCAAAACCCGAAAGGGTTTTGGTCCCCAATCTGATTTTCTGGACTTCAACACAATAGCACAGTGGTCAGATATATTCCTTGGCAATCCTTGTTGTATCCACTCTCCTTCCGAATTACTCATCTCCGTACTCAAAAGGAATCTGTCCAATCTACTCCTTGCTGTGCCATCTGGCTTGTACCATGTATACTTTCTATTCGACAATTTAACATCCACCAAATCAGATGTCACAATAAACTCATCGAAGTCCTTCATATCTGGGCTTTCTCTTGATCTACCTCGTCTCTCCTCAGGCCCTCTGACAGCATTAAAATCCCCTGCTATCAACCAACACCCTTCCTTTCCTATCACCATTTTCCTTAATTCCTCCCACAAACTAGCCTTCCTCTGTCTATCATTTGAACCATAGACATTAATTAAAAAATATTGCTTTTTATTTGCTCCCCATTCCCCTGCCAATCCCACGAACCCATCACCAGAAAAATCCTCCCTCTTAACAAATTGCCATCTATCCCACAAACAAAGTAAACCACCTGACGCTCCAGAAGAGCCCTTTGCAACCCAATCAACCTCATCTGAATTCCACAGTTGTCTACAGATACCTACATCCACTTTTTCTAACTTTGTTTCCTGCAGGAAAAGAAAATCCGGCTTCTCTTCTTTAACCAGCCTTCTCACTTCCTTCTTTTTCAGCGTCCCACCCAAGCCCCTAACATTAAATGACACAAATTTCATTAATCAATTCTATACACACAAACCTCCATTCATCACTAACGGCTCTACCTTCCCTTCGCGACCCCCCTCTCCACCCCTTCTTGATCTACTGCCTCTAGCAATTTTGATTGAATCTCCTCCTCATTATTCTCGAAAATAAGACCCAATCTCTTCCCCACCCCCATCAACCGACGCACCTCATGCATATCCATCTCCCTCTGCAACACCCTATTTCTATTTTTCAATACAACCATCTGAAATAGAAACAGCCATAGCATCGTGTACCTTGTCATCCTCAGCTTGGCGGGTTCCCTCTCTCCGCGCCAGACGCTGCTTTGTTCTGGGTGTTACCCACGGAGCTCCTTTTACCCAGATCTGCTCCATGCTCTCTGGGTAGCATTCTTGCAGCCGCCTCTGTTTTTTGCTCCACTTTTTTGTATTTTCCGATTTCTGCGTTGCCGTTGGGTCCACCACTATTTGAGCCTCTAAACATGGTTCCTCCAAATTCATTTCCTTTGTTTTACCCCATTCCATCCTGATGATCGGCCCACTGTCTTCTATTGGCCCATCCGAACTCCCTCTTTGTGGCCCAATCTCCTTGGGCGGCCTAAAGTTTACATCTCCTTCTATATCTGTCTCTTGCACCATCTGAAAACAACTCTCTGTTTCCGTTACTGTCTTCAAATTTGAATTAGCCACCAAATCCTTCATTAAATGCTCTGAGTCATTTCTTACATCCTCACCTTCGCCCATCACATCCAAATCCATTTCCAGATCCTCGTTCTGACACCACGAGGTTGAGAAATTAGACTCCGTTTCCAGGTCGCTTCTCCGGCCATTCTCCGATAACCACCAGTCCGGATCATTGCGCCACTCCTCTTCAACTATTTCTATTTCATACACCTGCTCACCCACCTTCAGCTTCACTTGAATGTAGATTTTACTCGACTCCGAACACATGATTAGGACTCTTCCATCCCATAGAATTGCTTTCTTCTTTGTGTCCTCGTGCACCAACACAACTTCTCCGATTGTCTCACCGATCATCTGAAAACACCTCTCATCCCATGCTCTTAATGGCACACCCGATATGCGCACCCACTTCAATCGGCTTTTCTCCTCTGGAGCCTTCTCCCATGGTGTTATGGACTCAAACCACATGCCAAATAACTCCTCATTATGCTTCATATAATCAGCTATGAACCCTGAAACTTTCTCAGTTAATAGTACCCGCCTTCCTCCAATTGGTGATAACGAGATTAATCCTCCATCTGCATCCATTTGCTCTTGAATCTCAGATATCATCGCCATTGACCTCATCACTGCCACCATGCCACCTTCAAGCCATTTCAGCTCATCACCCGATGGGATGTATTCAACAATCTTCTCTGTTTTTTCTGCTTCCTTATTCTCCTGATCACTTGTTTTGACAACTTCCATTTTCGGGGTTCCTTTTTTTTCCTTTTCCTGTGATTGATCTGGAGCCTTATCCACTGTCTTTCCTTGGCCCTTTACTGCCTGAGCATATGTCTGTCCTGGTTGAACCAGCCTATTCATGATGCTAGTTGATCCACTGACTTTAGGCGCACCTTGTATCTTCCTATCCGATGAAGGCTTCCTATGTCTGTCATTTGCCAGCTTCACTCTCATCTTATATGAACCTATCCAAATCTCATTCAGCCTCCTCTCCATTTGAATCTCGTTCTTGACCCCTGTTAGTCGCACAAAACCATACCTTTTCCCTCTTTTATCACGTTTCCTCGGAATATACACATCCACTACTTTACCATACATCTGAAAGCTGTTCCATAGAAATTTTGCCTCTAATTCTTCTGGGAAGTTATAAAAGAAGAAGTTCGAAGACCATCCAGAAAACTGAGACCTGTACTCTTCAAACTTGTTCCTGAATCCTTGTCGCTGTCTATAGCCGCTGTCTTTCCTGGCTGCCGCGCTCCTAGCTGAAACTCGAGTGCTCTCCATTTTTTAATATAATATCTACTGTTAGCTACATGATTTAGTGGTAGTTGTTTGTATTCTTAGTTATATAAATAAAATATTTAAGTTAATACTGAATTTTATAAATATTAATTATAAAGTGAGTTTTTAGTTGGATTCTTCACAAATGAAACTAGTAGAATTTTGAAAATAATATAATTACAATATTACTTAGTATTATAAATTTACAATTATAATATATAATTATATGATCGATTTTTTTTACTTAAGTAGTTATATATGATATTATATGTATCTATTTTTTAACATAATAATATTATTATAAGTTTATAATCTTATATTATATTATAATTACCACATTTTAGGAAGAATATAGGGATGAACGGTGAAATGGCTATCTGAATTCTATCCTTTAATTATCATGCCAAGAGAAGTGACTTGGGAAATTTTTTGCAAAGACTGAATGGTTAATTTCTACTATGAAATCAACATTCAACATGCCGAAGTGATTTAGCTATGTGATTTAGTGGTAGTTATTTGTGCTCTTAATATTTAATTTAATAATTAATTTTATAAATATTAATTATAAAGTGAGTTTTTTAGCTGAGTTCTCTAAAAATTGAATTAAGAGAATTTTGAAAATAATATTATTACCTTTTCTCAAAAATATCAGCCATACTAATGGATTAGTGGGTCTAAATGCAGATCACTTTGGATTTTTCTTTCTGGGTATTAAGGAGAGGGAGGAGGGAGTTCAAACCCACAGCTTTAAGCCATAAGGCTAGGCGCTACCTGTTGTGTTTTGTTGATGGTAAATACACAAAAATTTTATAAATTTGTTCCTTGGTGTGGAAAAATGAATCAACAATGAAAGCACAATATTGGAGGTGGGGTTGTGGGGCAGCTTAATTAAGGAAAATTATGGTATTGGGAATGATAACTGGATGTCATGGGTAAGGAAGGGTAGAGGGAAGGGTTCTAGTTGGTGGAAGGATGTATGTAGGATAAGATGTATTGAAAGAAAATAGAAATGAGTGGCTATCAAACGGGGTTAAGATAATAGTAGAAGAGGGAGAAGAAGTAAGTTTCATATGTGTAAAGAGGGTGTCCTAGCTCACAGATTTCCAAGGCTTTGTAGGCTTTCTGCAGGTATGGACGACAATATAAAGCAAATGGGAGTTTGGATCGGGGATAGATGGTGCTGGACTTTACCATGAAGACCTTCCTTGCTGGCCGGAGAATTGCAGGCAAAAGAGGAACTAGAAAAGGTGCTGGAATCGACTGAACTACATCGAGGACAAAAGAACAAGTGGGATTGGAAATTTAGCACGGATGGTTGCTACACAATAAGATCAGGATATTCCATTCTTGCTGCCATACAGGAGGAGAGTCATAAGTATGTCTTTGGAAGAGTTGGAATCCAAATGTCCCAACAAAGGTGTGTGGATTTAATTGGCAATTACTTTTAAATAGAGTACGCACTAAAACCAATTTATTCAGGTGAGGCATCATCAAGGATCCTACAGAATTGGTGGGGTGTTCAAACTGTATTTGCTAGTAATGTTTGGGATGTCTTTATTGGCCATGATGGTATTGTAGCGTCTAAATGAATGAGGATCGGTTAGGAGGTGGTGTGGTTGCTTTGACCTGGACTATATGGCTCACACGAAATGAGATTTTGTTTAACTATAAAGTGGTTGATATAAACAAGATATTTGATTTAGTTCAAATAAAGTCCTTTCACGGATTGATAAATTGAGGAAAGACTTTGAGGTATTGTTTTTCAGATTGGCTCCTCAATCTCCATCTATGTAATGTTAGTGCTTAAGTGGATGGGTACACAGGCATTGTAATTGTCATGTAAAATGAGTTTGAGTTTTGTACTAAAAAATAAAAGTAATTTTGCCTTTCCAAAAAAAAAAAAAGAAGGAAAACACAATATTAGCAAAGAAGAATTTGACACACAGAATTATAAAATACGGAAACAATGTGCATCTACCAGATATTTATTGTAACTACAACATGAATAAAAATATTACAATCCTCCAAACCACTTAAGTTATGGAAAAATAAAAAATATATGTACATAACCTAGACTAAACATCTCACTGTCTTCTTATGGGCAGACATAAAAATAGTCGCGACTTGACATAATTTCCTAGTATGCTTGCAAAGGACTGACCGAAGATGTGTGATCTACAGGTCGAAGAATAAATCTCAAAAACAAGTTGAGACTGCCCCAACATAAAAAGAAT